AGTCCCCCCCCCCCCCCCCCTTTTTTTTTCTGACGTGATCCATTGGGTACAAATACCATCCCAAACCCGTTTTCCCCATTTTTCTTCACTAATATCACTTCCAAAACCCTAGAACAAAAGAGAAAAAGAGAGAAGGAGGTTCATAGAGCTTTGGATTCTTGGGCTTACCTTGAAGATATATGAACGTTGCTTGGATTTCTTCCTTTTTCTTTCCCTTTCTTAGGCATTGGCGCTAGATCTATAAATATTTAAATCATTGACTAATATTGGTTATAATGTAAAGGATTTGCGTTGATTTTGATTCCATTAAAATCTATGCTACGATTTTGTCAGAAAATACATTATTTTTATACTAGACGTATTATCTCATGCATGTTTTTAATTATACTGGTGCTCGATTTACGCTTGTGCAAAATAATATTTATTGCATTCCATGGTCAAATTTTTAAGGCATGATTTGATCTTATGGTTTGGGTTACAAATTACTTATATGTAGGATCAAGGTTTTGATTATGATTTCTAGTTTTGATGATCTTGAATGCACCCGACTTACATCGTAGAGTGAGTAGATTTGTTTGATTCTTTGCGAAGTACCAAGATTTCTTACCACACATAGTGGATGTATTTGATTCCTTGCGAGGTTTCAAGGATTTCCACTATTAGTTCACGTATAAAAATTGAAATTGATGAATAGTAGATGTGTTTGGTTCCTTGCGCTTGTAATGTTTCCAGGATCGTGGTGTCGGATGTGTGCAGGGGATATTACGGGTTTCTGTTACTAATCTTCCCTGAAGTGAAAGAATTTTGAATGCATAATTTTAAAACCAGACCAGAACAACAACCCATAAAAAGGACCGGGCTAATTGATTACTAGTTCAACCATTTGGTCATTGGTCGAACCGGTTATATAATAAAAAAATAAAAATAAATTATAAATGATAATAAATAGGTTGAAAATCAGAATAATTGTGAAAAATAGCATGCACAATGTATATTGGATCAAACAAAAAACTCCAAAAATTATCAAGCATGTATCTAATGCATCCAATTTTCATAATTTGCTTAATTGATCAAATAACTTGCTCTTAATTAATTACATAATTTTTGAAATAGAGCCTAATATAATCTTAATTACCAAAAAAAAATAATCTTACTTACATAATCTTAAATAGAAATACAAGATATATCTATGTCAAAAGAAAGATTCAGTGTATAAAATATAGCATTATCAAAGAGTCAAGGTCTAAAATATAACATTATCAAAGATTGAATGTATAAAAAACAAAAATCAAATATAGCATTATCAACATATAAAATTTAATGGCCAAACAAAAAACCTATAAAATTTAGAACAGTATTAGTGATTCAATGTATTTCAATATGACAATATCAAAATATTAATTTATCAACCAAGTCTACACTAAGAGAGAGAGAGAGAGAGAGAGAGAGAGAGAGAGACAGAGTACCTGCTAGTTGTTGCTGTGTGATGTTGCGCCTCACTTGATGGAAAGAAAGGCACAGAGAATGGGTGAAGTAAATCATCAATCAAGGTTTGAGTGAAGAGCCCTTGTCCATTTCGATCGAGTCGTAATGTAGAGAGAGAGAGAGAGAGAGGGAGGGAGGGGAGTGAGAAGTCGGGCGAGTTGTCACTGTTGCAAGAGGCAGCGTACTGGGAATTGGAATGGAAATGATTTAGGGCAAAATGCGATTAGAGCAATCATGGCAAAATGCGATCTGGAATGGATTTTTCATGTGTTACAAAGCGATTGGGTGTCACACAACTAAAATAATTGCTATAAGATTTTATTAGCGGGACCCAAAAAATAATTTAAATTTATTTCAATAAAAATATATTAAACTTAACACAAGACGATATTTAATTGATTTAAAATAAAATTAGACCTGTTAAAATTAAACGTGTGGCTCGATGTGTGCCGAATATTTAAAACTATATAAAGTGGAAGACAAAAGTCTTCCAGTTATGCAGCACTCCAATGTTCAGCCAAATAGAGAGAAAGAGAAAAAGAAAAGGAAAAAAGTAAACTTTTTGATCTTCTTCCTCATATCTACGAAGGTCAAACAGTTTAATCGCTTTGGGCTAAGAATTAAAGTTGCTATGCGTAACGAGAGCTACACAACCACACCAAAGATCGCATTTTTCTCCAAAAATATTAAAGACAAGAATCTAGGACTAAAGCTTGGGAAGCTAAATTCGAGCTTTCCTTGGAGTTGTACTACATGGGCTCACATTACGAGAGATATAGTTTTCCTTATTTAGATGTAATTTCAACCTAAAATATGACATATGAAATGGGTAAGCTAAGAGTGTATATCACA